CGGATTTCACTTTCGTGCAGACCAAATGCTGGCGTGGATTCACAATGCTTTTCATCTACGCGCCAGTGGGGGCTGTGTGCATTCTACGTTGCAACCTTACTTGCGGCGTGTGCGCGTTGCTGGCAATTTCTCTGGCTGGCTCCTTGGGTGACGCGATTTCATTGCCGACAGAACTTGGCAGTTCCTCGCGTGTCGCGCGACCGCCGGCGCTTACGTGCGGCCCGAGGAAGCAGACGGCGCTGATGTCGCCGCCTCCCTGCGCGCCCCGCCCCCGCGGCCCTCCCGCCCCCGCCGGCCGCTCCCGTCCCCGCCGCGCCTGCTCATGCCTGGGACGTCCGGCGCCCGCGCACCCACAAGCGCCGCAGCCATCGCAGACGTGGGCGGCCGCAGCGAGGCACGCGCGCCTCGTCTTTCGTGCTGTGCCGCGCCCGAGCCGGCCACCGAACCCTCGTGCAGCAAACAAACACACCCAACACCACTCTCACTGACTTACTAACTCACTGACTCACTGACTCGCTAACTCACTCACTGACTCGCTAACTCACTCACTGACTCGCGCTAACCACTCACTGACTCGCTACTCACTCACTGACTCGCTAACTCACTCACTGACTCGCTAACTCACTTCACTGACTCGCTAACTCACTCACTGACTCGCTAACTCATCACTGACTCGCTAACCACTCACTGATCGCTAAACTCACTCACGACTCCTAAAACTCACTCACTGACTCGCTAACTCACTCATGACTCGCTAACTCACTCACTGACTCGCTAATCACTCACTGACTCCGCTTAACTCACTCACTGACTCGCTAACTCACTCACTGATCGCTAACTCACTCACTGACTCGCTAAACTCCACCTCACTGACTCGCTAACTCACTCACGACTCGCCTAACTCACTCACTGACTCGCTAACTCAAACTCACTGACTCGCTAACTCACTCACTGACTCGCTAACTCACTCACTGACTCGCTAACTCACTCAACTGACTCGCTAACTCACTCACTGACTCGCTAACTCAGCTCACTGATCCTAACTACACTCACTGACCGCTACTCACTCACTGACTCGCTAACTTTCACTCACTGACTCGCTAACTCACTCACTGACTCGCTAACTCACTCACTGACTCCAACTCACTCACTGACTCGCAACTCATTCCACTGACTCCCGCTAAACTCAACTCACTGACTCGCTAACTCACTCACTGACTCGCTAACTCACTCACTGACTCGCTAACTCACTCACTACTCGCTACTCACTCCACTGACTCGCTAACTCACTCACTGACTCGGGCTAACTTCACTCACTGATCGCTAACTCACTCACTGACTCGCTAACTCACTCACGACTCGCTAACTCATGACTCGCTAAACTCACTGACTCCTAAACTTCACCTGACTCGCTAACTCACTGACTCCTAACTCACTGAACTCGCTAACTCACGGACTCGCTAACTCACTGACTCCTAACTCACTGACTCGCTAACTCACGACTCGCTAAATCTCACTGACTCCCTAACTCACTGACTCGCTAACTCACTGACTCGTAAACTCACTGACTCGCTAACTCACTGACTCGCTGAACTCACTACTCGCTAACTCACTGACTCGCTAACTCACTGATCGCTAACTCACTGACTCCTAACTCACTGACCGCTAACTCACTGACTCGCTAACTTCAACTGATCGCTACACTCACTGAATCGCTAACTCACTGACTCGCTAACTCCACTGATCGCTAAACTCACTGACTCGCTAACTCACTGACTCGCTACCACTGACTCGCTAACTCACTGACTCGCTAACTCCACTGACTCGCTAACTTCACTGACTCGCTAACTTCACTGACTCGCTAACTCACTGACTCGCGAACTCACTGACTCGCTAACTCACTGACTCGCTAACTCACTGACTCCGCTAACTCACACACACACACACTCATTCACTCACTCGAGAGTGTGGTTTAGTTACTGACGGATTTTCAGACATTTCAATAGGTTGTACCTTCTGCTTAAATTTGTATCAATGTTAAAAAATTCTGTTTAATTTCATTTTATAAGATTTACACAAGGTCATAGTGAAAATTCTTTCTTCGGATCCCCTCTACCCGGACCTATAAGTGTGAAAACATTCATTCTAAACCAGTGGCATATATGTTTTACAAGAAATTAATTGCCCATATTTTCTGAATTACAAGCCTTCATATAAAAGTATGAATACAAAAAATTTCGCCATGTGTGTATGGCTACTTAAATCAATTTTATTTTTTCGTTTTAAATCTCCTTCTTCCCTTTTTTTTGTGCCTCACTAACTCACTCCTGCCTCACTAACTCACTCCTGCCTCACTAACTCACTCCTGCCTCACTAATTCACTCCTGCCTCACTAACTCACTCCTGCCTCACTAACTCACTCCTGCCTCACTAACTCGCTAACTCACTAACTCACTGACTCACTAACTCACTAACTCACTGACTCACTAACTCACTAACTCACTGACTCACTGACTCACTGACTCACTAACTCACTGACTCACTGACTCACTAACTCACTGACTCACTAACTCACTGACTCACACACACAAAAACACACACTCATTCACTCACTCTGAGAGTGGGTAGTACTGACGGGATTTCAGACATGTCAAATAGGTTGTACCTTCTGTTAAATTTGTATCATGTTAAAAATTTCTCTTGTTTAATTTTGATTGTTATGAGATTTACACCCGAGGTCATAGTGAAAAGTTAGTTCTTTCTTCGACCCCTCTACACGACCTATAAGTGTGAAACATTCATTCTAAACCACTGCATATATGTTTACAGAGAAATTAATAGCCCCATATTTTCGGAATACAATCCTTCATATAAGTATTAATACAAATTCGGCATGTGTGTATGGGCTACTTAAATTAATTTTATTTTTTCGTTCTTTCGAACGTAAAAGAGTAATCGTGCGCCGGTGAACGGTGAATATTTGGCAGAGAAAACCTTATTTTTGAACCCTGGTAACTAAAAGTGTAAGAATCTTGTTCATATGTAATGAAAGCTTATGCAAAACCGTCGTAGACGAGCTAGATGTGCTTTTTCGCAGGCAGAGGTACTCGAGGAGTCGCAGCGGCACGGCGACCTGTTGGTGGAGGACTTCACGGACACGTACCACAACCTGACGCTCAAGACGCTGTTCCTGCTCAAGTGGGCGGTGCGCGAGTGCCCGCCGGCGGCGTTCGTGCCAAAGACGGACGAACGACATGCTCATCAACCACGCGCGGCTGTGGCGCGCGGCTGCCGCGCTGGGTGCGCAGGCGCGCGGCGGGGGCGCCAACGGCCGCCTGGGGGGGCTCGGCGACGCGGCGGCGGGCGACCCACTCGCTCCCGAGGCCCCGCCGCCGCTAATCTTCGGCCACGTGGTCCACCACCCGCTGCCCTACCGCGACTCCAAATCCAAATGGTAGGTTGGTCCATCGCACCCTTACCGGCTGCGATAGCTCGGTGGCATCACATTTATATTTGCAGCGTCATTGACCAGGAGGTCCTAAGGATAGAGTCCTGATTGATAGACTGTTAGTAATTCCGAGCCCGTCAACTTCAAAGGTCATTGGTCCCGTAAGTACAGTGCATGTTTTTTCGAGTTCTGATCTCCCGCTGGACGGCGAGATCAGGCGCTGACCTACCGCCGGCGAAGGAAGATTGCTGTCTGTCCAAGAAGGATGGAAAGAAAAATGCTACATATACAGATTCAATAAAAGATAAGAAACCAAACCAAGAAGAAAAATGACCAGAATAACTGGTGTTCAGTAAATGGCGATGGAATTGAAATCGAAGTGGAAGTGGTAAGACACGTTGCCAGGATGGAGTCAGCTAGGTGGGCCCATGCCACCACAATGTGGAACCCAAGAATCGTGGGAAGAGGCGATGCGCAGCAAAATGAAGTGTATAGCAAGGACACAGTAGACACGGCTAGCATAAGATAAATTATTTTGCAAGCAACAATTTGTGAGAGATAAAAGTAAGTAATAAATGAGAAGTAAAGTTGGAGTGAAAAAGGACTTAAAGCATGCAAATGAAGTAAGTTAAACTTCAAAAGATTAAACAAATAAGAATGTAGGTTTGTATAGTTTGAATGATTTTAATGGTTATTTATTAACGTTTACTCATTCTATGAACAATTATTGGTGTTAACTTACAGCTAACGCAAGTTCAAAGATTTAGATAAGTTTAACAGATACTACCAACTCATATCATCATAAGTAGCTGTTCATCAGAAGTGGAAACTATCCTGACTTTCAGAAGGCCTTGGCCTGATAGTGGTTGAACGGGCTTAATATAATATGATATAATGTAGCTATTGCCAAAAACCTACTGTCGGGACTTAAACCTAGGAGTGACACAACAGTGACATCAGATGGTGCCCTTAGCCACCTCTTCCAGTTTGAGTCCCGTTGGTGACGGATCGTCAATACTAGCTAATGTGGAATTCGCCCGCGCGCATTCTGGAGGAGAATTCTAGCGGTCGGTGACTTCAAAAAGTAGTTTTATGATTATCATCAAGCGAATGCCGGAACTTTAAACGCACGGATTATAAGATGGGCACTATTCTCAATCTTCAACGCCCCTCTTCTCCGACACATTTGTATGCACCGCAATACCATAAATACGCGAGATAAGCCAGAACTTAAATTTTGTTTTGGCTGTGGTGTTGCCTTGCTGTAGGAAATACCTGGAGGTAGAAAACTCGCATGTCGTCGTGTTAGTCTGTGCCACATCTAATATTCCAGCCGGGAGGAATATTGCCACCTTCAGAGATACACCAATCACTGCAATGACGGCGATAACATCCTTAGTAGTTGATGTGGAATCGGTATTCTCTCCAACATACTGTTGTGGTACAGATGCTCCCATTGTTTATATTGTACCTCATTTCATCATCTACCAAATTGTATTATGTTCCAATGGCGTACCACCATCATCGTACATAAGCAACTCACGAATTTTTCTTTTTAAAAAATAACAATTTACACAAACGGGGAGCTGAGAGATCTAAAAGTACGAAAAGTTCAATTCCAAAAGAAGATGATAAATGCAAACAGAATATTTGAACGAAAATAAGTATGGTATATGAATACACCGTTAGGACCAGTGGAATTTCTGGAACCAAGTATTCTGAGTTCTGACGGCACCCCGGCTTTCCCAAAACCAAACACCAGTAGGCACTTAATGGGATGACGCAGATGAATGCTAGAGCTTAAATTTATCCTCGGGCAGTAGGATCTTCGGCCATAGAAAAAATAACTTAAGACACGTGAATCAAACGTGTAGTAAGAATGAATTCAAGTAATGCATGTATTCTGGAAGTCCACCTGATACACAAACATACACAACACAAAATAACACACAAACTGAATCGCGAAACGTATCTTATTTCTACATCCTTGAAACATTACTAACATATTTTCGAACGTTCTGTAAATATAGGCTTTCTTTAAAATAAATTATGTCCTGAACTATTCTACCGTGCTCGGTTACTGCCTGACTGAAAGTACTTCAAGCATTTGCTCTTAACACAAAATGAAAGGGGGACTACCCTAGAGTGCATCAAATTCTGTTTACTTTACACATTAAATCTTAATTCATAATTAATCAACAATGCACATTCAACTTTCCACATAAGTGGGTCTCTTATAAAAAGCTATGTTTGCATATTATGTTCTGATTTGCATAAACAATTTACAAACTTTGATTATTTCTACTCTAATTAACGTTCAAGAAGGGTGTCGCAAAATTCCACAAGGCACATTCTAAAATGCTGTGAGAATGCAATCCGCTCCTAGTCAATTTAACTATAAAAGAAGAGTAATTTTCCCCCTGAAGCTCTCATCCAAGAATTCCTACAGTTTACACAATCCAACTGCTCGACCGCAGCTCGAGTAACATTTTTATCGGTCGTGAGCTTGTCGCAACACTTTGGGATAATTTCGTCGGAGTCACCGTTGTTTACCTTGCTCTGTGCTTGCCCCTGGCCTCGCTGTTTCGTCGTCTCCGTGCCGCGCCATGTCCTTGCTCTGGACGCGAGAGATCGCGCTGTCAACTCCACCAAGGAACGTTCGCAGACCTCACAGATAGTCGCCACGCACACCAGATCCAATCCAAAATGCAGCTGCTTCGTTCTTCTTTCTTCCTTCCTTCTTCGGTTACCGGGACACGCTCGCGCTCCTGTTCTTTGTCTCCGCCCCTCACGCCGATCTGCGTTTCAGTCCGTGCACATACGGCGTTGTTTTCCTTGACGTCCTTGTCACCACACTATAAATTTCGTGAACTTTTGTTATATCAAAACAATTCTTACCACCTCTCACTATGCATGCATTACGCTTTAACTACGTAACGGGTCCACTTCACAAATCAAGTTACTTACTTCCTGAACCTTTCGACCACTTGGTGTCATCTGCCACGACCTCACGTTCAACTCGCAATGGTGGATTTCACCTAGTTTCGGTTGATCCGGAGTTTAGGTTGCACCGGTTCCTTTGGTTCACTGATTCGGTTCACTATTTCTCGTGATTCACAAAAAGAATAATTTTGCTGGCACTTCACGCCGCTCCGGCGGCAACTGCGCAGTTTGAATTGTGGAGGCTTTCTTGAAAAGTGCTTTTTTTTATAAAAGTGAATTGGTAATTATGCGTTGGATAGACTTAAGGATGTTTGTGGTGAATGCGAGGGCCGAAGGCCCGAGCCAGGCCGTGACTTGGATCCGGGCGAGCGAAGCGAGAAAACTTGTCTTTGAAAGTAAATTGGCATTACAAAGCGGTAGGGACAAAGAGTATGAATCAATGCTAGCAAAATTATTCTCTAGTGATTGAAGTGAACCGCGCAACTATAATCTATTGAATCACGATAAATAGTGAACCAAATCAGTGAACTAAAGGAACCGGTGCCACCCTAAACTCCGGATCTATCCTAGTTTCCTGACAACACTTGAACATGCAAATCTTGCCCCTTCCTAAAATGTCTGCGCCCTCCACTACCTTACTCTCAACGTCCTAACAAGACCGTCGATGTCCGAACCCACGAGACACAAGATGCACAGGAATAAGAACACCAGGGCCACTGTCCGGTGTATTTACGTGTCGACCAGGGCCATATAACTCCCATATAACGTGGTGGAGACCATTATAGTGGCGCGCTCTGCTGCATCACCTTTACAGGAACTAAAACAACAAACTGCTGCCAACGAAACGTTAAACGTACGTGGCTGCTGCGTGAGTTCGCGGGTCGCAAGCAGGCCCATAATGTTACAAAAGACAACGTCTATGTTCGCGATTTCATCAGAGGTTTCTTGAAAGTATAGATTGTGAATAATTGTTCATTTAGAAGACCCTTTTCCTATTTCTCACAAATTAGCCAATTTGTATGTGTGAAAGTTGGCGAGCCTAACCTGCAGCTGCACCCGGCGACACTAGCGCTTCCTATAGTAGCAACCTCGAGTTTTGGTTGAGTCGCACGGTTTTGATTGAAGGTTGCCGGGACCTGGTGCCGACCCTTTCTGGGAGGAGTGGAGGTGCGTCATACCCAACGAGTTAGAGATACATAGAGAGGCAAACAGCTATATTTCAGCGCTCCTAGCGTGATATACGTGAAATTTGGCGGCCATGTTTGAAGGTGTCAGAGTGTTTTGCACTGAGTTAATCAACTCGCTACTGAATTACCTTTTTTCGGTGTGTTTAGTTGCTTAATTGTTCTCGAGTACGAAGCCACAGGTTAAAACTCAACTCTTCTGTTTTTTTGATGCTGCTCACATGCTGAAGTTAACCCGTAATCTACTAACAGAGAAAAAAGTCTTATTGATGGTACTGCAGGAAATTTCAGTGAAGTTAAGTGGGAGTATCTTGAAAACTAACAAATGTTCAAGAAAAAGAAGGGTTGCATGCAGCAAATAAATTATGAAGGCAGCATTTACTGTATGAAACACAGAAAATGAAAGGTGGTTTAGCAACTCAGACGCCGTCTGTCAGTAGCTAAACCAATGTTGTTTTGCAAAAATATTGGGATGAATTAATTTGTGTTGTGAAAGTACAGTGAAGTTCATAAAAACAATTGATTCAACATTTGACTTATTAAATAGTTGTCATCCAGTGGGTAAAAGGACAAATGCATCCATTTCTAAGAGAAACAAAGATGCAGTCAAATTGATGAGTGTATTGTTTCCTTCAAAAATTTAAAATTTGCTGATGACTCATCTGTGTGGACATCAGCCAGAAAGATACGCTTGTATGGATTTGTTAATGACCTGTTAAGCATAAAAGGTATTGCATGAAATCATGTGTGGGATGATAATCCAAAGCTTAAATATCTATTAACTCGCAGGCTTAGTCAAGACCATTTGGAATTATTTTTTAGTTCTTTACGAACAAGAGGTGGTCATAGAACTAATCCCTAATGCTGTACAATTCCATGCAGCATATAGGAAATATTTAATTGCACCGGTCATGCCATCTGAGAACGACAATAGCACATTTTTTTATAATGAAATGCTTACTCAGGAGGGTCAGACTTTTGAAAATCTAAGCACTTGCATAGTAGTAGATGACCATGACTATTATTCAGGGTATTAGATACTCAGTCTTTGTTGAAAATGTTGTCGAATACATTGCAGGGAGTATTGTGTATGGAATTTCAAAAAAAATTAAACGTGCTGAATGTTTGGACAGCTACAAAAGCTTCGATCATATCGCGCAAGAGTTGCTGAGTTGCAGTCAGCGGACACAAAAGCGCGCTTTTCGCACCGACTATAGAGGCGCGCCATCTTCCCTCTAGCATCTCCAGATGGGATTGTAGCCGCGTGGGTGGCTGTGGGTTGGCAAATGGGCAAAATGTCACAGTGTATTATTTCGTATATACGTATGTTTACGGGAAAGTAAAAATACCTAAAACCAAATGACATATGAGTAGGTAAACTATAACTCTTAATATTAAACAAGATTTTTCAATGGTTTCTAAGCCCCCTCCTACCATCTCGACGCCTCTGCAGACAAAAACGACGTTTTTGCTTTCATTTGTTTGTCAATTTAATATTACCTTTTCTAGTTGAAAAAATTAGAAAATAATATATACTCTCAAAAACTTTTTTTTAATTTTCTCGGCGCGAATTTAAACGCAAAGAATTTTTGAAAAAAAAGCTATAAGAAAAACTATTTTTACTGTATCTTAAAACTTTGGAACAGACGCGAAAAAAGTCTCAAAACTTCCTCTTAAAACACCAATTATTATATTTTTTCAGAAATATTCGATTGCTTGGCTCTAATTGTAAAATAAAAACTACTTTTCCACATTTGAAACCATTTATAGCTTTAAATACATTTTGAAACTGGCTTCAACTATTGTGTTCATTTATTTTCTCATACATTTGTATGGAACCCTGGCCTCCCTGGTGACTGGCGAGCGACTTAGCTCAGAGCCACCGAGCTGGGCATATAGGCGATGTCTTATGTAGAGATAGAGATGTTGAAACATGAAAGATGGAGTATTCCACCTTCAAAGACGGTGCGCAGGTACCTTCCGCGCTCGATGTTCCCTGAGAAACTCTTCCCCGACTACGTGTCCGGGGTCGCGTATGTACTGACCGGCGCCTCGCTGGGGCTCCTCTTCCGAGAGGCCATGGACACGCCCCTGCTGCCGCTCGAGGACGTCTTCCTCACGGGCGTCGTGGCCGCTCGTCTGGACGTGCCCAGGGTGAGCGCCTTTCTTTCACCCTCTCACCCTCTTTCAGACTGGGAATACCGAAGGGATGTCTAACGGAGCGGTTTATTTCTCTCTCGCTCTCTCCTCGCTCTCTCTTTCACTCTCTCTCTCTCTCGCTCTCTCACACACACACAAACACACACTCTTTCTTTCACTCTCTCTCTCACACTTTCTTTCTCTCTTTCTCTCTCTCTTTCTCTCTCTTTCTCTCTCTCTTTCTCTCTCACTCTCTTTCTCTCTCACTCTCTTTCTCTCTCTTTTTCTCTTTCTCTCTTTGACTCTTTCTTTCTTTCAAGTTTTCTCCTTGCTTCGTAAGAAGAAGAATTGTAATCATATGTTATAATCAGCGATTTTCTTTAAAAAAGACTCGTATTGTGTACGGTGGCCTTGGTCTCGTGAGATCCCTTATTTGAATAGTTTTCGCTTAATTTAGTCTGAAACATAGGTAATTTTTAAAGAGGTGTTTTCACAAAAACCGGTACAAATTTTATTTTCTCGCCCATCCTTCGCTAGAGAAGAAAATATTGTAATAGTACATGACCTGGTTTCAAGAACTGTTTTTTGAAAAACAGAGTCCATTAAAAAACTAGTGGAGCAACAACAATACATACTCTCTACCATTGTTTCTAAAGTTTTCATTTTCAAAAATTGAGAGAGTTCAATGAAAATTAGATCTGCCCTCTTCATTTGAGCGTTCCTTGTTCTAAAATGAAAAAATGAAAAAAAAATTCAATATCATAACTAAAAATTAAAGAAAAATGAAAAATATAATGAAAATAATGCTAACCTCTGACGAGACCTCACGAGTTTAAAATGTGGATTTGGATTTTTGAGGATACTTTAGGACCCGTATTTTCAAAATTTTCTCGCTAACGGCTTAATTCTTTTATTGAGCCATGATCTCAGATTATATAAAAGAATGGCGCATACCTCATTTTCCTTTCCAATCTCTAATTGTTTAAAAATTGTAAAAACTCATTTTTTGTGCTTTCCTACAACTACAGTATTACAGACAGTTTTTCTCTCAAATGAAATATATTCTTCAAAAGCAAATTGAACAAAAAAAGTGATGTACAATTTTTCGAATATGTGAACTTCGTGAACGTAATTACAGGCCGTAGGACTCGTTGTAAGTTGGAATTTGTATATTTTTCATATTTCTCTTTTTTCAAATAATTTTGGATTTTGGAAATATCAATTTTGGAGAAAATCGGCTAAACGGTTTATGTGCTTTCGTTGTTCGTATACGGAGAGAGACGTTTTGCCGTTAGTCGATTTCTCTGTATTAAGGACCCACAAAACATATTTTCACCACCCCACTAGTAATAAATAAATAGCAAAAATATATATAAACATCTTTTTTGGTTACCATTGCTCAGCCATATGAGTTTTTGTGCCGAAAATATGCCATTTTCTGGTACACAATTACATTATATTCTCTTCTTATGTAGTTTAGGACAAGAAAGTAAACTAGTGGTGCTCCAATAACACAATGTAGAAAATAGAGCTGTTTTAGCGTCTTCTACGTCTTTCTTTCACAAAGAATTCTCCGTTAGAAGTAAGCAAATCACAGAGACTTGCGAACGCAAAAAAGCCGCACGATGTTTTGGATTTCCATCATAGATGGGAATGAGGTCTTTGTATGCCCAACTGGGAATTTTGATTGAATAAATAATGAAAGTTGTTGCAAAGATAAGAAATGCCGTCAAAAATCTCTTGCACAGGTGAATATATCTCGCTTCTGGCCTCACAAGATCGCGCTGAAACCATCAGAGATGCCGGACCATCCTTGCGTGTACCATCACATGTTGGCCATGCACCACTTTTCAGCGGAGAAACTTCGGCAGCTGTGGAAATCGATGTTGCGACTGCAGCCCGCTCTAGAGTGCGACACGTTCCTCATGCACATTCTGGGGCACCTCTTCACTCCTGGCTCCTACCAAGTACGTCTTACCAACTATTATTTCGACCAAACACGTTGA